CTCTCTTTATATACTCCCCTCCCCATCAAATCCTAACCGTTCATCCTAGCCCTCTAATCCTCACCACTCATTTGTTTGACATTCCCCCACTTTGACCCTACTAAAGCATTACATTAAGTGCCTTGAACCAGCTTGTCGAAAGTAGATAATGAAAATCAGTATTTTGCAACTCTACAACTGAAGACAAAGCTCAGGTGCTTCATTACCTGCTTTGGTGGTCTACTTTTACTGGTTGAGCCATCCAGAATCACCCATCAGCATCCACAGTAATTCTGGCCACTGGCCAGCTCCAGTGTCTAAAAAGTGCCTTTCTGCACCTTAGGGGCAAGGGTTCAGTTCCTAGGTTGAGTTGTTGCTGTAATCTGCTGTTGATACTCCTGCTAAGTTACATGTACCAAAAAGTGCCTTCCATTCACAACTTTTATTGTGATTGCGTTGAGGATATTTATTAGTTCATAGTTACTGAGATGTTTCTGCCATTTGCAGGGTAACAAGGGACTTGTACTTGAATACCGAAGAATTTATTGATGCTGTTGCTTCAAATCTTCAATCGAAACTTAGGGAGCCTGCAAATGTGTAAGTAGACACTTACTTTCATCAAGGCTAAAATTCAAGGGCTTTGGAGGATGAAAAGGATTTTTTGGAGACACGTGCTATCCCCACTGATAGGTCTTATCTTGTTGAATTAAATAAATCTCAATTAGATTTATACGTCCACTAGAGCTGCTGATTAAGGCCATTTGCCATGTAACACGGGGAACTTTAAATCCTCAAAGAACGTGACCCATTTTTACATGCTGGACGTGTTTAGTTTAGACTAGAACTAGTTCCAGTATCTCCTAATGGTCTGTATTTAGTTCATGATATTGCAAATAAATCATGCCTTATTTCTTTTGTGGTGTTCGGTGCATTTGAGAAGACTCTTACCAGTGCGTCATATAGTAGAATTTATTTGTAGTCTTGAGAATTGATGTTATGTACACATGCAGAAAGGGATATACACACACACACACAGGTTTTAGAAATTTAGCACGACTTGATTAGGTGTCTCAGCAATGTCTTAGGCCAAAAAGTCTATATTTGGTGTCCAGTAACTTACAGCTCTTATGGGTTTGGATGCTTTTGTACCCTTTTGGCTTGATGCTCTAGTCTTAAAAGTGTGTTTGGTTATGGTTTTGTATTTTGGCAAACCAGCTTATATGTTACTAGGTTGGTTAGCTTTTTTCTTTGTTAAATTAGCTTATAAATTGGTTTAAAAAAAGTCATTTATGTGTTTGCTTCGAGTATTTTAGTTTATAAACTAATGGCTTTATAAGCCTCCTAAAAAAGTCAATGTATTTGCCTTGCCTTTTTTTCCCCACTTACAAGCCGTAACATTTAATTTCTAAGTATTTCTTTTGTTACTGGTTGTATAGAATTTATAAGTTGAACAAAATACATTGAAACCAAACATATTAACTTATTTTTAAAAAGTATGACTTGTATTTGTAAGCTTAGAAAAAGTCTGAGTCAAACGCATATTATATACACAGGATTTTAAATTATGCTTGTACATTTTATCTATGAAGTAATTTTCTGTTATTTGGGTCTAACATCAGAAGAAATAAAAATTTATCAATGTAAATTTTATTTAGGATGTTTTTCTTATTAGCTATTTAGTCTTTCATAAAGTAAAATATTATTAATTACTCATTATACAAGATATATGTTATTTATATTGCTTTGTCATCTTGTAAATTAAAGATTTTATATGTATTATTTAAGTAGAACTTTTTATTAACTTACAGTCACTTGATTGACATTATATGAATAAATGTCAATAAATTCTATTGAAATTGATAAAGCTACTTATTGGGAAGACACGAATCTTAGGATTACTTACCCTTTAATTTTCTCAAAAAAAGTTACCTTTTAATTAATGAAATTATATATATATATATAGATATTGAGTTGTATTTTTCTTTTTAAAAAATAACAAATTCAATGTACTAATAATTACAGACGTAAAAAAGAAGAAAGGAATATCCGAATCATATGATAATTTACCCTTTAATTGTCCCAAAAAATGTTACCCTTAATTAATAAAAACACCGTGCACATAAAAGTTAAGAGAAACGAGTTATTTACAGCTATAACGAATGATTTATCAATTTTCCCCTCCTTGATGAAAAGATTTATCTTTTAATTAATTATTATTATTTTTTTTGGATAATTATCCTCTTAGGCTTAATGGAAGATTCAGCAAACTAATTCTCAGTTTTTGTTAAATAACTTGTAATTTTTTTTTTGTTCTGTAATTAAATCGATTATCTGTTGCTTTCTTATCTTTATCTATAAGATTCAATTCATCTTTTCTTAAAAACTTCTTGCTTAAGGAAATAGCCATTGGTCTCCCTAAAAAGAGGAAAGAACTTTGAATGTCAACTTTTTTTTTTTTTTGTTTTAAATTAGAAAAAGCAAATTATGAAGAGTTTATAAGTTTTAGGCTTAATTACGGTAGACGTTATTAATTTTAAAAAATTAAAATAAATTATTAAATTAGTCTCTCAAGTCTGAAATTTATTATAATTTAATTTATACTTTGTTTTGATTATAATTTAATCCTTAATTAATTTAATTAACAAAATTTGTTAAAATTATTAATTTGATCTATCTTTTAAAACGTTTAAAATATAATTTAATTATTTTAATTTTTTATTTTAAAAAAATATTAATAATTAAATTATAACAAGTGTCATATTTTAAATATTAATTTAATATTTCACCCAAAAAATTATCATCTATCATATTTTTTGAGAAAAGCAGTATTAGTCACTCATCATTAAACCACAAATAAATCTATTCTTTTTTAATAGAATGTCATACTTTTTTTTTTTTTTTCCTTTCAAATATATAACGCATAAATTTTAAAAAGAAATTGGAAGCTATTTTTGTTCACTCAGTCACAATTCTCTTCATTCTCTTTTCTTCATGATTTTTAATAGGACAATGATTGATTCTATATTTTAATACTTTAATATCACTATTTTTATCTCATTAGTTTTAATTTATTTAATCCAATTTCTTATATTTTTATTTAAAAATTAAAAATTCGTAATTTTATATAAAATAATGAAAGAAAAAAAAAACCAATCTTACTTTTAAGTAGCTTATTTGTTAAATATATTTTAAAATAATATTTTAATTTTATTGGACATGAAAAAAAACAATGGCTTCCCACGTGCGGTA